GACCAGGTATGAGAGAAGACGTCGAAAAGTAAGTAACAAACAGTGTGTACGCAGTATCAGCTCATGAAAGGTCACCAGTGCATACGACCATCACCGCAGTCGATTCTAGTGACAGCGGTGGGTGACCTGTGCTCTGTAGATGTAATGGGACCTTTTCCCCAAACCTCCAATGGCAATTAGTACCTTCTGGTAATGACAGAACATGCTACATGATGGCTAGACGCAGTCGCGATCCACGAGCAAAAACGGTAACAGAAGCAGTGGTTCGACATATCGTCGCAAACCACGGTGTGTCAAGAGCGGTAGTGATAGATCAGGGTTCATGTTTTGAAAGTGAAGAGCTTAAAGTCCGGTTGCAAGAGCTAGTTATCAAGAAAATTAGAACAATGCCATATCATCCACAAACGAATGGCTTGACGAAGAGAAATAACCGTACCCTAAAAGAGTGGCTGGTCACAAAGGGAAGTAACTAATAGACAGAGTGCCCACTGATTATGCTAGCACATCGTGCGTTCGCGCAAGAAACGACGAAGAAATACCCAATTCGGTTGATGTACGGGAGGAAACCACGACTACCGATACATAACAATACCTGGCCCCGCTACCAGCACTGGAGTAAAGCGAGATGGCGAACGAAGCGAAAAGAAGCAATGAATAACGTAAAACGAAAGCAGAAGATGGACACTGTGAAATCCAAACAGAGGGTAAAGGAGAAGTATCCAACATTCAACATCGGAGATCAAGTTAAATGTAGAGATAGGCGAAACACAAGCGGATATGCTCCAGGGTCATGAAAACTGCTTTTAAAGTGGGAAGGACAATACACGGTCACCACGAGACGGGGTCACATATATACCATCAAAAATGCAAAAGGAGAGAAGAGGATGAACGCCAGCGAGCTCCAGAAATGGATACAGCGAGACAAGCAAACGAAGACGCCAGTACCAAGAAGATCGAGCGGACTTCAGTCTAAACTGCTTAACGGGAGAACGAGTGTGTTGGTGCGATACAGAGAATGTGTACCAAAGGAATATTATTCTCACATATTCCCACAGTTCAATTAGGCATTAGCAAAACAATACAATATATATATATATATATATATATATATATGAAAATTCTGTTTATTGCTAGAGTCGGAATATTATTCCCACAGCTCACTAATGCAATACGATTAATATGGGTGAACGAGAAAACCTGAGAACCAGCACAACACAAAGCTCAAACAGAATCAAAACTAGGTTAGATGAAGACACGTTATTACGAAACTCAAAACATCATGGAACTGGCCGCATCATTCCGGAAAGTAGAAGATATAAGCATAAGAATGTTCTGTCAGTGTGTAATGGTGGTATTAGCATGTGTATCGTTTGAAAAGATCTACGTAACTCATGGGTGTAACCATCAGGATATCAGTCTATGACCTTAAACAACAACACCTCACGCAAAGTGAGAACATACAACCAATCTTCACCACTGTTTTCAACCAGCATTTGGATTAGATAGAGTGGCCCGATCTCGCCACTTCTGCTCCACTTTGCTATTGATGATATTCTAGAGACAGACTTTGAAGGATTTGTATGGTGATGGTGGTGTAGATCTGCTCCCTGGGGAATGACCCTCAGATCCTGAGTTTGTGGCTGACGTCGTTTTATTATACCACTACTCACGAGGTATCCAAATCACATTTAACCAATTGACTATCACTGCCTGTATATGCTTTGCACTAAGTACAAAGTATCGTTGCAACAGTGGCTGGAGCCTGTATCTGTACTCACCCTTGCTAGTTAACCGTTAAAAGCAGTTGATAAATTTGTAACTCTATGGGTTCGTGTGAATGCTGGCGCAGGTGGGATGGATGAAATGTCTAACGGCATAGCGAAATCCATGGCGATATACTCCAACCTAAGCAACCTCTCGCTACGTTGTGGCGACAGCCTGACGAATGTCAAGTGTTGGTGCTCTCAGACTTGCACTACGTATGTAAAGCCTGGCCTCTCCGAGCTGAATATGCCTCGTGAGATCCTTCAAATTGGCTGTATCCGGTAGCATCGTCATTCTCAAGTCCAATGGAGTGTTTCCGTATGAAAGAGGTCGTCTTTCAATAGGCGTTGTGCTATTAAAACACCGGCCTCGGTGGCTTAGGAATAGTCAACAAATGTCAATCAGCAATTTCCATACCCATTACTGTTTGCTAGTCCTGGAACTGGTTCGGGGAGAGCAGAAGTATGTTCAACCCATGATGCGGCGCCGCAGGATGAAGGATAGTTACATAAGGTTAACGTAAATTTGTATGTCACGACTTCCTGGGTAGGGACCCAGAGATGATGCTAACCAGCGGTTCCAGACGTTATCAGATGTAACTGATGACCATAATCAGTGCCAAACATGCTGCAATTTTCTTTTTTCCTCTCTTTTTGAAAGTTATGTGAATTGATGTACGCTCCTTAAGTGCTCTTCATAAATATGCCTGCATGTTTTTTCATGACGCCGTTCCTCAAACATCCAACTTTTTTATATACTAGGTTTTGTTGCTTTTGTGGGATGCTTCTCTTTGTGCCAAGTTCGTGAATAAAGAAAAATATCAAGTTGAGTTGACATTAGTAACAGATGTAGCACAATAATACGAACTAAGAAAATGTCCAATGGAATTGTAAGCTACAACGATAAGAATGAATAGTCACGGAAGAATGATGCATACTGTTAAGAACTGATAATCCTATTAATATTCGCTGCGAAGCAAACAGGAAAACTTACTAGAACTAGACGGTTAGCAGTATATGTATTTTCATTTCAAATCTCGATACGTCTGAATGAGAGCAATGATGATAGCTGGTTGTATGTGCTCATACTCCTGTGCCGTTGTAAAGTTTTCAAGAAGTCCCTCAGGAACACCTCTCTCAAACATGCAACTGCCAAGAACAGTTCCGTTCAACGAATCGAAGGCAGCCTTAATGTCAAGAAATACAACAATCTTCAAGTATTGGTTTTGTAAGGATTTTGTTTGATTGGTTGGAGGATTTCATCATGTGCAGACATCTTACTGGAGAGCTGTCTCGAACCCTAGTGGGCGCGTACTGATGAAGAGCCCCAAACGAGGACGAAACAGCTATCTAGTACTCCCAGGTTTTCCAATGGTTCCCTAACTGATGTCTGCAAATGATGAAAGCCTCCAACCAAAAACAACAATCGTTGACTTGGAATGTATTATCGTGTTCTAACAACAGACACCAAAGATGAACACAACCAATGAATCATTGACCTGGACGGAATCTAGTCTGGTTCCTTGCACATCAGTTTCCCATTTGTTTTATATTTCTTGCTTCCTGTACTGAAGGCAATATTTTAGACGTAAGGGATTAATGACTGATGCTCAACACATGAGTCACGTAAGTCTTTTTGAACAATACACACGCTAATAGTTTCATTACACACTGATAGGACATTTTTATATCTTATACTCCCCAAAAGAATGCCATCGGTTACCTAACTAGTAACAGCAGCAACTTTAAGAGGAGAGGGGATAGTTAGTCTTGGTTATTTTCCCCTATCCTCTTTTAATACTGAGAGTTCTCTCCAGATCGCTTTTCTGGTGAAGTGATATTAGCAATCGATGGAGCACTATGGTAATTAATACTGAAAACCCGAGTTTTGAACTGGCTAAACTATTTATCACTGGCCCACCTACAGTTTCAAACGGTTTCTTAGGTTGTTAATCAATGCGCCACCTACCACACAGAACATCTAGTTGATACTTCGTTTTTGCTGCCAGATTTTTCAAGATGCAGCTGATGACTTCACTGCTTATGCACTCGCTAACCACCATTTACGTTATCCTCACATAAACACTAAGCAGTTCACTAATCTCACTATCTGCCGAAACGGTCTGACGGGCATCAAGAAGTTGTAGGAAAGACAGTCCTTCTTAAGCGCGACGTTCTCATAAGCCAAAAATGGCGTTACTCCGTGTCTTCTAATTATAACCAGTGTTTCTCTTTGCCTTTGAGTTTGATCGACAAGGCTACAAGACCTGCTTTCGCATGGTTGTTGATAACCAATGCAGATTTACTTCTGCGCCATTATTTTCTGTGTGGATTCTGGAGATAACATGCACATCTTTGGAGTCAGCGTATTCCAAATCTCATTTGTCGACCTGCATGTCCACTAATCTGATCTTAAGCTGCTAACGACCATCTGATTTTAGATGATGAGTTTCTGAATATTAATTCATTTCGGCAGGTACAATGTTTACGGGAGTTTACTGCATACTGACACAAGAGGTATGAATCCACTAATGCTTTTGTTAACGTCAACCAACTTGCAACAAGTTTGACGTTCTGTATTATCATTCGTGAACACAGAATTCAGACGTCTGTATCAACATGTTCTGATGACCAGCTCAGCACGCCTGACTTACACCACCATGTACTGTATTTTTATTTCATTGGTGGGCATTAACAGGAAGCCAAACCGAATAAAGTGGTTTCCTTTTAAAACAAGTAACTATCAATTCTGAGAACTAACATGAATACGATAAAATAAGCGAAGGTATTCAACTGGTTTGAAGTGAAAATAAACGTAAAAGTCAACTGTATTTTAGTACCCACTCGCTAAGAAAACCACTAACATGCTGACGATGAACAGCAAGCTGGATTACTCACTTAAAACATTCCTCTAAAACAATGCTAAGGTCCTTTGAAAATAGATTTCCTAACCAGAATAATATCTCGAAAGAATGAACATTTTTAAATCCTTTTTTCATACGATCCGTTTACGCATAACTTAGTCTGGCATACTAAATTCCTTTAAATATTATATTCAATGCTTTCAGTTAATACGAAAGTCGTGTTCACACTTTACTTTTGAACACTGGTCGTATACGGTTGATTGCCACATTCACGTACTAGAATTACTTCATATTCATTACTTTCCGGAAATGATGAGTCTATTTATGATATCAAAACGACGCAGATTATTCAATCAATGAACAATATTTAAAGCAGCAACACAATAGTATGAAACCAAGCGGTCATTTCATGTATTTTCATAAAATTATTACCGCAAACTATATCTTGAGTAGTTACTAAGCTTTGGTGAAATGGACTTATTGAGTTGGTTACATGTAGAAATCTGATCATTATCCAATCAACATCAATAAAAACAACCTTTTTTGAATCAATTCTATGAGTAAAGCAGAGGATAGAAATTACGTTGAATACAGAAAGGAGACAGAAACCAATATTTATAAGTATGTGCAACATACGCTCATAATGAGACGACATTATCATCTGAATCTGATTGAGTGAAATAGACAAAGAACAATTTGTGAATATTAGTAACATTTTAGATTGGAGACCATATCAAAATAACCACAACTGAAAACCAAATGAATTGAAAGAGATGCAAAAAGCGTTCCGTCTACACTTATGGAATAATTTACAAGATCTATAATATGAGTGAATCGGTATGTTCTAACAAATAAGTTATTGTATGAATCAAATAGTGTTTATTCGTATGGACAAACAGGAAAGGCATTGCAAATTATCCGAATCAATGACTCATCAAAGCTACACCCAAAGCTTTACGTTGTTCTTCATTAAGCTGACTTACACAAGCTTCTACCAAGGATGAATTAGACTGTAAGAGGAAAGAAAAACATGAGAATTAGTCGTCGATCTTCTAAAAGAAAATTGGAATCACAACATCAGCAACATTTATAACCAGCACATGTGATTCGTATTTTTAAGTATCTTCAGTCACCCGGATTTAAGAAGAACTGAATGTATTCATATGCGCCAATTAAATACAACAGTCATGTTATTTGGCGAATGGTGAGTAGCAGTGGAATCCAGTATGAGCATTTCGTCCTATTTGGCAGTCATCAGCTAGATATATCTGTAATCCCTAATGAGTGATGGTTCGCCTCAAACTCCAAGGCGTTCTCCACTAGGCCACTTGAGTCTTGAACATAACATTCTTCACTGTAATAAAGCACACAAATACCATAGCACTATTTTCTGGATGATGTTTTAATGTATTGCTCATGTTCAAATCAAGGCAATCTAACAACTTTTAAAACCCATGTAAGGACTTCTTATTTTTACTTTCTTTGGCAACAAAATGTCTGGAGTGGAAACAAAATCATTTATATTCTATTTATTGCGTGTTAATTTGATAAGTAAAACTTATGTAATCAATTCCTCATTTTTTGAATCATTGTCTTAAAACTCGATTTGTGTATGTATTAGGCGTTACCTTTTCGCTACAAAATACTGTGGAGATTTGAGCTGTTTTTAGTAGGGATACTAAAAGCTTGAAAGAAGACGCAGGAACAGAGTAAAACTGAAATAATTTGTCACGGAAATTCATGAGTGGGAAAATACAGGAGAAAGCGTTCAACAGAATAAACTAGAACTACTTTGGCATATACGTATACCTAACTCAAAACAGGTTTTTCCTACAGCTCATTAAAGTGTCAACTGGATATGCAATTGCAACGCCCTGTGCATCATATAAAACCCAAGTAATGCACGAGCTAAAAGCCAACTGTAAGACATATTACAGTAGGCTACTTTTATTTACCGGCTTGAAACTGAGAGTTTTAGCTTTTTATCAGTAAACATCCCTGAAAAGAAAGTAATGTAGAAAGTGAAATATGGATAGAAAGTGAGCAAATTAAAAGAAAAATCGTTCAGCGAAGAGTTACTCTTCTGAGCAATATCATCTTCAAGCTGTACAACCATATATATATATATATATATATATATATATATATATACATATCCTTCACGTTCATGCGAATCTTTGTTTTTGTGGGGAGGTCAGTCGGAATTCAGCTGTGAAGGTTTTTCCAATAAGCGGGACAGGCGGTTTCTCAGTATTTCTGCGGACGAGTATTCAATTGTAGACTCAAGTACAGAAGTCTTTTAGGAGCAGAAAGTGTGGGTGGTTTTAGTTGTTTAGGCCCCGTCGATTTTGTGACAAAAAGTTCGGAGTAACCATTTTCAAGAATTCTTTTCAGGGTATTCAGCTCCTCTTTCCAAATGTTATGGTTGCAGATGTTGTGGACTCTGTAGCTTAATGAACACAACAGGTTTTTTGTATTAAACAGGCACCCAACTGTAAAAGTTAGTGAGTTTTCCGTTCTATGTCTCCTATCTGAAAATGGATCTTTCCACTGTTCCATCTTGTTAGTTGAATGTCCAGAAAAGATATTTTAGTGTAGAACTCCTTCTCTAATGTGAACTGGATTACAGCTTTTGAAAAAAAAATACAGGATTTCCTCCAAATTTTCTTCATTATTGCAGATGCCTATGGGGAGCAAATTGTATACCTCAATACGAAGTACTTTTTTTCCATAGTTATTAGATACGTTTTCAATCTTATTTATCTGAAACAGCATTAATACAGCCTACATAAAAAGAAAAGATCTTGAATATACTTACCTGGATGTGGCGCAATATTGACACGCAGCGCTGATAAGTGGAGGGTTTGTCCAAACCGTTTTGTTGGTTGAAACCACTAGCTTGATCACCTGCTGCTAGTTTCGGGCGACTGTTTTCTGTGTCACTATCAGACAAACCACCTGTGGACATGGATTCTGCAATGGCCCGAACAATACGTGGTAAATTAGAGTTGTCTGGTCCAATTACAACAGGATTATTGGCCTCAAGAAGGTCACACAGATAGCCGTAAACATGTTCAGTTTCCACGGTATCATCCCATATAGGAAGCCAGCCTAGCCATCGGTTGATCAACGCGTCAATTCCTCCTATTGCCGGTGGCAAACATTCGGGTCGGTATTTCATAATCTGTTGACCAATGGGAACATTAAAATTAACTTTAATTTACACTGTGGATAGAGTTCACTAGATCTAATGAGAATATGTTAGCTAGAGCATGTATAATGAAGCAATGTTATGCAAAATTTTATCTAGTAACTACCAAAATGTGAAAAATTGCTTAGTACATATAAGTAATAACTAAACGAAACCAAAATCCACAATAACGCAAGTGACATATACGAGTTCAATGTATCGAATAACTTGGTACTTATGCCTATTAATGAGTAAAGATAAAGGTAACTTTATAATCTTGCTTCTTTCATGCAAAGAAACATTACCCATATAAACAAATTTTTCGATAGTTTACCTTAGTAACCGCACTGATTGCATTTTCGGTGCACAAGTTGTTTTCTTCCGATTTGGAATCTTGGGCTTCAATTAACTGGATGAGAGGACCCACAAAATTAGACAATATCTGATTATATTCCGGACCACCATTTATAGCAGCAACGCCAATCCCATATACGACAGCTTGACGAACATCAGGTTGCTGATGCTGTATAGCCTGAATGAATGTAGGTAGGAAGAATTGGTGGAATTGCCAACTTTGTGTTCCAGTAAACTCGATTACATCATCCCACAAACATATACCCCATTGCAAATCTGACCAAGGACGATTTTGTTCCTGTGGAAAATGAAGTAAAGCTGAATGTATCGACACCTCACGTTATAACTTTTACTCTGAATAAAAATTTCGAAAAATGTTGGTCCCATTTTTCTTTCAGAATACTTTTTCACTTTCTAACAAAATGATCGTCAGAAATATACACATTCGCAACTTTGTTTTAGAAAACGTGTGCATAAACTAAATTAATGCAAAATACATGACTTCTATAATAACTGGGCAGCTGGATGAATGTTTCATGAAATGATACATGTGACATTACGAAAACCACTATTCATGTGAATTTCTGATGTTAATGTGTGGGGAATTTTGTAAACATTTGAAATCGAAAAGGTTCACTGAAATGTCAACGAGATTATATATTAGGATGCTTTTAAAAGCCAAGCTAAATTCAAAATAAATAAGTTGGAAAACTCACCAAAAGTTTGACACAGAATACCATAAGTTGTTGAAAGAACGGAAGGGCATCCACACCAAAGGTGACAAAAACGGAATGTACTACTTCACACATTTTGGAAAGAACGTACTCATCTTCATCTTTTTCACTAAGTAGACGTTCCTCTTCGAATTCATCATAATCCTCATTCTGAAAAAAAAAGTTTCAATATTTAAATATTTGTCTTGTACAATAGTTAGTCAGGACTCAGTCACCCAGTGACGGGATTTGAACTACACCTATTGCGTGAAGGCTAATGAACTACCCATTTGTCCAGACTGAAGTAGGTGGAACGATATTCAATCTCGACCTTATGGAATACATTAAAATGGACTGTAGAAGAAGTTTTGTTTTATTTAAACGGAGTAAAACATTGCAATATAAATCATTTGATGTGCATACAAGTACAATAAGCTGATATGAGTAAGTTATGCATCTCCCAAACTTGTGCAAACCCGACTGAATTAAAAAGTATGCCAAGATTTTCACACACAAAGCATAATGTGAATGGGTTAATAATCGAGATCCAACACTCTTTGATGAGAATTGATGGGAACAATGCAGAATCATAAAATTAAGTTAAAGTGAGCAATAAGTGTGAACGACAACCAAACTACTTCGCGTATTAACTTCGGAAAAAATAGAAAAGTGCACTATTAAAAAAGTACTCCGATTTCAAGAAATCTGTATATCAAACTGTTAAAACCGCCTAACCTTATTTTAAATTATCAGAAGCAATGAAAAGGAATTGTAACCCACTTGACGTTGAGCAAGGCGTTCTTCACTTTTTTCAAAGTGTTCATGAAATAGATGATCTAATAAACTCCGAATTTCAGCTAATTGATCACTGGTTATATATGTCTTTCCTACAGCTTCTATAGAATTCGAAAGTGCCTGTAGATGATCTGCAACTACATCACGTTCAGGTTCATTGGTTACCGCACGTATCAGACTTTTGTGTACACGATCCCAGGCACTGGCTACTGCCTCTGGTTGTTTAGCTTTCATACTACTGAGGAGAAAAGGTAAACATTCAGCTGCAGCACTGCGAACCTATTTATTTAAAAAAATAAACAGTTAAAGTTATTTTGATAAACTAAGCAATAACAAAAAAATAAGATAAAAATCGAGCACTAATTAATATACCGTATCAAAGTTATAAATAAGTGGAAATTCTAGGAGAAGAATAATCAGTTATGAGAACGAATGGATATCAAGAAGATAAAATCAAACACCGTCAATAAAATTAACCGGAACTGGATTTCAACAAAACTTACTTCATCATTGAAATAAAAATCAAGTAACGGAACCATTATGTCCAAAACTTGTTGGCAATATGGTGCGAAGCTCTCTTTCATTTCACGAGCATAACATACGAGCATTTGGCAAGCTGTGGCTTTGTCTTCTAGTCCGCTGAAAAGATATAGAAAATAAAGTTAGTAATAGAGTTCAATGATAACAGGACCTTTAGTTTAATTTATGTCTTTGACACTCACCTCGTTCGAATAGCATAATTTCTGTCCTCTCCAAGTTTGACAACTTGCCAGTCGACATCGGTTTCCACATTATCTGCCTCGTCGTTATCAAGTATGCATATCTCCGGTTTTACACAGGCAGAGCGCAGTACTTGAGGCATAACAACGGGTAGGTAACTTTCAAAATCACGACCCAAAAGTTTGCAGATTCGTGCCCAAGCACTTATCATGTAAGAAGCCTAAATGTTTAAAATAAAAGTGACAGATAAAAATGGAAAAGGAGTTCCAAAAAGAAAAACTTCTATCAATATACAGCATAGAGAGTCACTACCTGAGGGTCATCATCATCGACTGATGATTCAGAGTCGGGTTGAGTTTGTGTTTGAAGTAGTAAGTTCATCACTGGTCCCACATCTTGAAGGAACTTCTCCTTTCCAACGGCCAGTCCAATTAAGCTAATACATTCGATAGTTTTGCCGCGTAACAAACGTAAATCTTTGTGCAGAGCGTTTTCCATTATATACTTCAATACCGGCATAAAGCTGTGGATAAAAAGTTAGAAAAAATCTAGCTCATATAGAGGGATAAAACTAAGTGGCAATGTTATTAACTACGTCACTGCTCCACAAATAATTTGTTCATAAAACAATAAAATATATAATAGTCAAGACCAGTGTATGACTACGCTTATAAATGGATGGATAATTCTATGTCTACACTTAACTGATTAACGATATCGATTTCGGAAACGAAAAAAGTGTGTCAAATAAAGGGAAATTTAACACGTCGGTTGCTAAACAATTTCAGATGTCTGTTATGTCAAAGATTCTGATGTACTTGTTAATGTAGTTCATATTATGAAACTGACAGACAAAAAAGCTAATTCTAAAATGTTAATTCTAAGAGATATCATGAAGCTCAAAATAAAATAACCGTACATACCGATCATAATATGGTAAGAACTTCTTTTCAGCGGCATCGGCGACAGATGCGACAGTTGTAACTATTTGCATGAGCACTAATTTGCGACCATGTTCCACCATTTCTTGGAATTTAGCATTCATTATCTGTTCAAGTTTTGAAACTAGACCATCCAAATAATTCGCCAAGATATTCTATAAAATTTAAAAACAAGCACAAATGCAATACATCGTTTGCACTTTGATATTAAATAAGCTGTTGAGAAAAACGATGAAATCAAGGAACATTTGTAATTTTTAAGGCTTCATGGAATCTTTAGATAAGATGCCTACTATGAAGCCCCTCAAATCAGTAGGTGAGTAAGCTAACCACTAAATTATCCTTTGACAATTCCATGAGATTACTGAGACAAAAACACACCTAAAGGCGATAAAGCTGCAGTTGTTTAAATCCTCAGACCCCCTATTAAAGCTGCTATGTTGTGTGTAGGAAACAGCTTATAAAATGAAGCTATAATATGACTATATTAAGATAACGTAACGTCAGAAGTGCAGATGAAGTACACAGATACTGAGTAAAAATTTCCCTGACTGAAATTCACCACAATTAATAACTTTAGATTTAGCTTCTTCAAATCACTTCACTACTTTATTTCACACCGAACACATGTTGTCTTATCAAACAAACGTCAGAATAACTCTAAGAACAGTTTTTTTGTCTTCTGATCCACATATGTGTAATACCACGGTTAAACAAAGGTTGTATTTTTGAAAAAGACACGAAGTGACCAAGTGCTACTTAAGTGTGAACGATATTTCCAATATAAAGAACATACATTTTTTGTAATACCTCATGACACAATTACATTATTCTCATCTACTTCAAGTAGTGTAACATCTCACTAGAGCGTCGGAAATGTTTAATAACCTGTTAGTACCAATAGCAAACTTGGTGCATTTAAGTATTATTAAACAAAAAGCAATAGAACAAAAATGTTAATCATTATCAGTTATGAAATGCGAGAAATCTACACCATTAAAGAAGGAAAAGTATTTTACCGACAAACCTGTGGTACTTTTTCACAAAAATTCACAAGAGCAGCTCCAGCATTGGCCTGAACTCTAGGGACAGTATCATCTAGTGTTTGAACTAAGGCTGGAAGTACAATATTGTGATGAGTTTTCTGTAGTTTCGGGCCGAAATCTGTAGCCATCTGGCCAACAGAATTGCAAGCTGCATACCGAACACGTGGATGTGGATCACTGAGACGAGGAATAACAGCATCTAGTATAGAGCCAAGCATTGTCTCCATCTGTTTGCTGCTACCTTCGCTACAAGCAGAAATGGCCATCAAACCCGCATAGCGTCGTTTCCAGTCAGCTGTAGTTTAAAAACAGAATACCGCACCGTAAATTATTAAAAATGATTTTTATAACCTTTAAAAACGACACACACACATCAGTGCACTTCAACAAATTTTTAACTCTTTTCGATATTTATTCCATTTTGTAAGGGAATAAAATGAAACAAATATTCCTCACAACTCACCTTGTTGAAGCATATTTGGGACTGATCGACGGATCTCATTCAGCACATGCTGACCCCCGACAGCACATGATAACCTGTCAAGAGCGAGTTCTGCTGTTAAAGCGTTGCTACTTTCATCTTCCTCTTCTGCGGTATCTGCATCTGCCCAATCAGGTTCCTCATCAACTTCTGACATCATTTTCAACAATGTTCCAACAAGAGACTCGATCAAATTAGAAGACTTTCGTACACCAGATGGGATGTTTTCTGCCAACGTAACAATAACTTCGAGGGCTAATTGTCGTTGTGGTTCAGAAAGCTCCTCGTTACACAATATCTGTAGAGAGAAGCAATATTCTGAGCATATACGAGAATTACAAAAAATATTATTAACGTATAAGTATCTGTAGAGAGGTCAGCTTTTGTAGGCTTAAAATTTACTTCAGCAAAGCATCAGGGAATTGATATCCATACATGATATCTAAATGGACATCATGTAACACATTCCATGTTACCACATTAAAGTGAAGTCAAGAAAACAACAAAACAAAGTCATAATTGAAACACTCTGAGACAATAAAGAACTTTTAAAATAAATGCTACATTGGCTAAATATGCTCAACACATGTCCCAGTGATCTTCAATCGTATAATACAGTACGAAAGCAACAGTATTTAAATAAGGCAGTTTTCAGTTCATCTGCTTTCCATATATCAGTCATACAATACGGTAGTCAGTACGTTCACATTACATTTATTAATTAATAGATATCAAAGTACATCACCGGTAACACTAGTAGTATTAATCGACGCATCAAACAAGCCTGGGCTCATGTGCAGGTCCTCATTTACCAACCAAAAACTGATTCCACTTACAAGGCAGGTAAATTAATGAATACGATCATAAACTTCTATCCCAACAGTTAGATGGCGCGGGTGACTACAATTTTTTCGACAAGAATTTAGATCAGCAATAATGCCTGGGTGCAATAAGTCTACACTGCGTAGTTGGGTTGTGACTTGCGACATTTTCAGTATGTAGTTAACAAGATTTTAAACATATATAAAACACATAAACCCAAAAAGATAGTGTCAGAATGTGCGTAAACTCATATCTCGAATACCAGACATAATTTGTTGTAGGAACTGTCTATACAAGCTTTCGTGATTTGTAACTGCTCAAATGTTTAACAGTGTCACCTTCGTTTCCTTTCTATTCCTTTTAGAGGCTATGTAATGCAACTGACATGAATAGTTGTTACATTTTCCTCGCACAAACTTCCATCCTTAAAAGATTTGAGTGTGCTGACGGTCATTTGACTTTAATACAGTTAGACAGTTCTGTGTTATGAATGACTGTTCGTCTTTAAACGTGTGAAGCGTTGCCTAGCTAAATACAAGTTGTTTGTAAATCTCACCAAGGCTTTAGATGAAGGAAAGTCAAGCCCCACAGATAAAATTTGCTTCTTCTTTAATGTGACTTCCACCCTTACATATTTTACAGCAGTTTTTGTTCTTCTTTGTTTACTTAAAAATTACTTTGTAAAAACCATTCATAAGAAATTTCTTGCATGGGCATTATCTGGTAGGTTTTTCAAGTCGAAAATTATCTTGCACACGAATGAAATTCAATCCCAGTTTATGAGGGATAAAACAAATAATTTAGGACTGTAAAACGTGTCCTAACGAGATTATTTGTCTGTGGAAGATTTCTATAGGAATTTCATTTGAATTGTTGGCCTGTGTAGATTGAAAGACAACGGAAACGTTAAATTAATCCATCAAATTTTCCAGGAATTCAAAATTTACACATATCTCACTTTATAGCACAATTCCAATGTAGGCGCTAGATAGGGTTTTAAGTACTTATGAGCGGCATCCGCGATATCGACCAAGGCTTTGAGAGGTGTATCGTCTTCTGGATCATTTTGAATTGCCGTAGCAATAGCCTGCAACAGAAGGCATCAATAAACGGTGAACTATATGCTTTTTTCATATACGGATGACAAGCCAAAAAGCATACCAAATAAAATAATGCGTATGCACAAACAAATGTAAGGGGAAGTGGGTATAAAGAACTAGTTCATTGAGAGAAAGCACAATGTGATGAGATACTATGTCAACTTAATTTTTCTAAAGATTAACTTTTCATAGACTGAAACTAATTGTAAGTTGAGAAAACGACACAGTTGGATAAAGTATAACGTCAAAAACCCCAGTCAGTAGTGGACAACTCCACATAAGAATAGCGTGCAGAAGTTTACTTTCACTAAGCATCTACGTGTAACTATAAAAGCAATATCTGTGGACAGTGAGTTTTCAAGTAAATATCAAAGTCTACAGGAAAGTGAACAGGCTTTATAATAGTCAGGCTAGTTTCACCAAAGCCACGTTTTGTTCTCCCGCTATTATGAGGATGAAGAATCTTAGTTATCACCTTTTATCAAAGCTACTTGAGGCTGTTAATTTAATCATGAATACGGGTTTCAGATCGGTTGACAACCTTGAATAGAGTTAGGGCAGACTATTCTGACGCCAAAAAATATAAGTCGCTTAAATGTAAGACACTTAGTCGCTAAAAGGAACGGCTGATAAATTTAACATTACCTCATTCCAACTTCATAATAAAGTAACTATACAACTTATGTTTCTTGGCAATTTTCTGGACATTGAACCTGTTCTTAACGATTAATAATATTATAAATGAAAACCAGCATAATTTTAATAAACCAGATGTGCATGTGAACATGGGTTTCCTGACAAGCATGTTTGTAATAACAATTATGTGACCTAGAAATGCACACAGTAGAGCAACACCGTACTCCACAGCTCTTGGATGTTTAACATCTATTTAAGACAAATAAGAACTACGGGAAACAGTTGACTTAAATGTGGAGCTTCATATTTATTTTTTTTTACTGTGCTAAGCATTTGTCTATATACTAAACTGTTAATAAATAGATAGGAAATTCGAAACTAGTCACATTTGTCGGAATTTCAGTGGTGAGGTCAATAGGTGAGGCTTATCGCAAAGCGTCGACACATCCGTTACTCTCGATGGGTCCCTTTTTAGTTGTTTTCATTATATATGAATGCATTTCACCGATTAAACAGGCTGATTCAGTTGAAAATTTTTACGTATACTGCACAACAGCTTATAAGTTTGACTTCAGTTACCATGGAATATACTACTTATTACAACATATAAATAAACGACAATTACCAGGATAGTATGAGATATGTTGAACCATACCTACCTGTAAGGAGACAGGAACCAGTTCTCTAAGGGCTTGAAGGACAGAGTCTTCAGTCGCGTTCTGAACCGCAAAGGCAGCTAGGGCACGCAATCCAGCAGCTCTAAGCTCTGAAGACGAAGGATCAGAGATGGCTCTGGCAAGAAATTGACCAATAATTCCAATACTCTGTGCCTGCTGATTCCCAAAAAGTGACGGAACTGATGCAAAAATATGGCAAGCAACCTCTCTCAAACCGGTGTCGGGTGAATTCGACCATTCCAATAAGATAGAAGTGAACTCAGGCCATTCAGAAATGCCATCATCATCTGAGAAATAGAAAACATACAGTACATCTTCAAATAGTGCAAATAACTGACAACAATGAAAGCTGCCACTGATTAAACCGGTTGCGCTATACCACTAATAGTCATTCGACTGGAAAACACCGTCGTGCCCAAGGATTTTTATTTAGTACTAGCGAAAAACACTGATACAATGCTATGCATACAAGTCCACATAATTTTGACAGAAACTGTGAACTGCTCACTGTGTGGTGGCGTGATACAGACAATGTGTGCCAACAGAATGTTATTCTTACATGTTCCCACAGTTCAATTCGGCATTAACAACAGAATACGATCAATCTATTTGAACATTCTAATTGATGTTAGACAGAATAATTTCCCACAGTTCAATACTGCATTGGCAACAGAATACTATGTAAATTTGAACATTCTATTTCTTGTCGTTCAATGTACACCGAAATCACACGCTCAGTGATTAGTTAACGAATATAGACTGTAGATATATAAAAAGCAGTTTGATTGATGAAAAATATACTTTGGCTTCCATGTCTTGCCGTCTGTTGTTACAATTACACGAGGTGATCCTGTACCGATGCTGAGGTTTCATATTGTCAAAATAATTCACTAACGATTTTGAACACTCAAGGTGATAACACAATGACTTTAGCATCTGCGTAAATGTAGAAAACATAAGATACGACCTAATTTCGAAGTTTCTGAATGAATAAAATGGTAGCTGAAATTAGTTGTACGCAATCCTCTACGTTTTCATATCATTCACTTGGATTCTGAAATTTTTCTCACTAAAAATGATAGTCTATATACAATGCGAGAAAACATGAGAAGCAGACAGTAACAAGATAACTAATGGTTTTTAAGGAACTTACCAAACTGCATTCGAACCAACTCAGAAATTAAATCAGCTACTTTTCGACGCATCAACTGCTCGGTTTCATGAACAACAATCAATATTAACTGTTGCTTGGCCGAGTTTTTCGTCTCATCAGGAAGAGGTTCAAATGCAGAACCATAGTCATTGACAAGTAGTCGACGACCCAAGATGGCAGCCATATGTCGGGACTAAATTAAATCAAGATTTAGAAAATTCTGTATACGAAGGCATCTGCAGAAAGTTACAAACCATGATACATACAGTGATCGACACTCTAGTTAGTATACCTTCAAAAGAAATTCACTAGTTACTATATAATTAGATACACATTACATCCCTAATTATATTGACCACTGAGTATTAGGTAAGTAAGGAAGCTTAATGTTCTCCCATGGACATTATATAATGAATGTAGTCTTGTATTTCTTTCCGTAACTCCTTTGACACATTTGATGATTAACCTCAGAGAACTAGACAATATAGACGACTAGTTCTACAGATCGATCGAAATCTACTGATCCGATATACGCGATTGTCATGTGATAAAGTGAGACTTTTTCAGGTTAAGACGCCTTCAATTCAATATTCACAGATTTTAAGAGTTAGGGTGCTGGCAAAGGTCAGTTACGAACTCTGTTCTGATCACAGAAAGTATTTGAGGTTGAGTTACTGCAACATTCTGTTCATGAATTTGGGCTGGAGCAAAACAGCAAATAGAGGTTATAGAAAAGGCATGTAACTTAAAAATAAATAGATGTCTGTCCAGTGTCTTGATTAAAGCATAGTAAATGGAATGAGCCCAGGTTATAAAACATTGCTCAGTCAAATTTACTACTGCTTGTTGCAAGTTATCCATGCGTTTGAACATAACTCATTTCTATAAAATTACTAATACAAACGTATACTAGTACTTTAAATGCCGATACCGTTTGACGGTGGCAACAATCTAGCTAAGCAAAATGCTTAACAGAATACACCCCGCATGCAGCAGCAATAATCACAGCTGGATTAGTAGGTGGGATAGCGGGTCTTATATTCCTGTAAAGACTAAGCGGTAGTCGACAAAACCAACTCAGGGAAAGCTAGATGGTAGTTCTGATCACATCCACACACTTCTACAGGTCCTGAAACCTAGACAGGATTACCTGAGTTCAACGCTTGCTATCTTCTTTATCCCGAAGGTGGCATACGACTTCGTAGATCGAGAAGCACAGTGGTAACGACTGTCCGTAACACTGCCGAGAAAGTTTACCACACAAGTGGAAACGCCCTACTCAAACTCTCACAATTATATTAAAATGATGAAAATTAAGTGTTTTTAGAATGCCTAATTCTGACATTCCTATTGTTTTTTTCACAGATTTACTAATGGAAGTCGCCACGGATGACCCTGATCTTCCACGCATTGATATATAATCAGGAAAGTTTTGTTGACCTATGCTACCCACAGGATACAATCCTTCTAGATTGACATCGAAAATTTTTCCCACTTTCAGTGAAAAAACTCCTAAAACTTTCACGCACCGCCTGCCATGTGACATGTCCTTATCGGTAACGCTAGACAGAACCTTACTTCAGGTCCCACACCACTAGCGAAGAAAAATAGGTGTCTTTCATCCACATTCACAAGGTATAATTACAGCTGTAATATAACAGAAATCTCAGTATCAGTGACTATTTGGTGTAGTACGCATTTCACTGAGTACGTATACATAAAAGTTGATTGATAATGTTCAATAAGTTTAGTACGGACACTAAGTGTGGGATTTATAATAATGTGGTAACGTTGATAGCAGGGTATTTGACAGCATTACTTAGTAACAATCCCTCTAAAGAATATGCTTCCGAGCATTGAAAAGACTGAATAGTATTGTACAAATGAGAAGCACGATGAAATCTGGTTTAATATAACTGGAGACATAACGTATGCATTACTACAATCCTGATGAATCGTAATTGACACTAGAGGATTATTTATGAAAGCAAACAGAAAACTCCGGGCAAATTTCCTTTTAATAGCTAGCGTAATGCAGCTGTTACTTAAGTTAGGTGATGTCAAGGACCAACACTAAAAAAACTTCCAACCAAATAAAATATTCACCGGAACTAACCTGAGGAACTATACTTTTGTCATTCAGTACTTGTAGAAGCAGAGAGAATCGAGTTGTTGGTGCAATAGCCTCGTACGCCGACTAAGGAAACGTTTAACCGAAGACGGAACAATTTACCTCAGATTGAGTACGTGACTCGTTGTCTGGGCTTTGTAGTTGCAACAGCAGATTTTGGAAAGTAGCGTAGTCAGACATCGTATTACTACTATCAGTACCAGGAATACGCTACACTAACGTGCTTAACCTCGCGCTTTGCGCCAAAGTGCGCGGCCAAGGTAATTAAACACATGGATTAAAATAATGAAATTGAAATATTTATTTACTTTGTGCAGGCAAGTCAAGTCATTAATCGCACATTAAAACCAATGAATATTTTCGTCCATTTGGAGGCAAATTCGATCCGTTGATGTTACTCATATCTTTGGTTTGGTGGTTGAGTTCACTGCCATAAACGTTTAAATTTATGAATCCAGTACGAGGAGTGCCAGCAACTCTAGAGGTTTCTAGTTGTATGGTCTCTCTGAAATTTAATTTCTGGAAGTACTACAACTTTGCATTTCACCCATCTTAACCACCTTGACTTCAGTTTCGGTGGGATATCTATGAAAATGATCTCTGTATTGATAAATTCCTAAAAGACATCTCGTTTGGAATCTGTACCTGCCTTAAGTTTCGTTCCATCTGCACAAGATTTGGAGTGACTAATGTCTTGCAAATAGCTAGTCTAGCTTCTGAGATGTGGGCATTAAGAGGGCGAATCGAAATCACTTTACAGAAAGATATTGACCTTTCTGAATGATCAGAAAACCTCATACCTTAATATTTGACCCCGTGACCTGTATTCGAATCTGGAAGTAGAGCAGGACTATCATATCCGTAGACAGATGTTGGTTTTCTAGAGACTACTACAAGCTATAGCAAATTTATTTAGGTTAGAAGGCGGTCGTCATTTTCATTCCAGTTACCTAGGCAATTTCAGTTATATTGGAGTCTAGACTATTTCCACTGTAAATGAAAGGCATAACTTAGATAAAATTCACCGTGGTCACGAGGATGTCACCATGGGTAACTGAAATAGGGAAGTTCCCTGTATTATACTTCTAGCAGTTGATCTAGTTAGAGGGGACTGCTGGTTGAATTCGACTAATTGTTCCTCTTGTTTGAGATAGATAAACGAACAGTTTGATAGCACCGATACTGTTCTGTGGGAATGAAGATTAGTTAATAGTCTAGAACCAGGATGAAAGCTTCCCTAAAGTCAATTAATAGTATAGCTACTGAACACATATCAACTAAACATTTATTTATGTGGTGATAATAACCTACACACCAATTGATGCATAGATTTTTATTCAGGAAACTATACCGACCGAAATTCAGCGGTCCACTGAATATCAAGCAGACTTAGGCCCATACCAATGTTTTTGATAAAAACAAACACTATGTGTGATTTCAGCTATCCTTTGGTTGAGTGAAGTGGTCGCTTATGCATGGCCAACGTTTGACATATCTTCTCACCTCGTACATTATTCCAGATACTCGATACAAACCTCGCAGATTTGCTCATCACCATCATATTCATTTTCGTATAGAAGTGTGAGCTTTATAGTTACATTAGAGTTACATACCCTACTCATGAAAATCTTGTGCATTTTCGCTGAGTTTGAGGTGAAATAGTGGTCTGAGGCTTGTTATTTCGCAAACTTTAGGTTCTCAACCACTGAATTTTGCTTAGGATAGAAATTTCAATATTTTGGACTACATATCTTTGCATTTGCAGTAAAACTCTGACTGTACTCTCAGTTCGAATGTTGCTAGGATTGGTATATTTGAGAGAGGAGAATTTTATCTGACATCACAGTAAATTAGGCCACCCTATATGTGTGACGCGCAGCTATGTAGGTGATTAGGTTTAGTCCTTTCCCTTTATCTACTCTATTGGTCCCATTACAAGCCCCTGAAGCGCGAGGAGTGAAAAATTATGCTTAACGTTTTCTGTTTTTCCAACTGCCAAACACCTGAGGACCTGGTACCCACCAATATGACAAGATTACGTAGAGACCCACTTACCCTAACCACACAACCCATCTACAACACACTTGTCCAGCCAAAAGCAAGTGGAACAGTTAGAATGTGATCACTAGGTAGGGTATCCGCGTTAAACTAGTCGATAAGCTGTTTCGACTATCCGGAATTGTGGGTTTCTTTAGAAAAGCTGGCAAACTCTACTGTCCTAAAAACATTTGAGAGAAAACTTTTCGGTCAAAGCTCCCTCCCCCACAACGCTCGCTTTCATTCCAGGCTGTATATGAATAAGCATCTTCAGCTTTCATGTGGACTGATATCTTATGGGATGAATAATAATATTTATTGGGCGAGGATGCACATTTCACAATCGGTGATTTGTGTCACAACTCCATTGTCCGTTTATATGCTGTCATCTAATAAAAGAGATAAATCAATTCCGAAATCCGCTTAGAAGCCCCAAAGTTCATGAACATCTCAAAAACTTCAACCTTCAAGGACCAAGTTAAAAACGTCTGGCGCGATCTATACTGTTCATTATATCAAAGATAACCGTGAGTCAATCGACTATTAAACAAGCCATGACTCTCTATAGAAGAATCTTAGCCGAATAAATGTTCAGGAGACATTTGAGTCGTCTGGATTCAGAAACAAGGTATTGTTCATAGTGTGTGGATGTTATGTTTTGTAAAGTGCCCCTGTGGTTTTGTTTGGGCCGGGCAATTTTGTAGAGATGATTTGCTTGGGTGCAGCTGGATGAATGCAGAACGTTTTATGCCATAACGTTAGTAGTAGTAGCACAAAATACCTAGGCGGTTCCGAATTTTGGTGAATCCCACTTTTTTGTCCTGCTAAGGAAACTTTGGGTAATTTTCAGACCGTCACAAGAAGATATATCACATCACGATTAATTGCCTGAACGAAGCAACAGTGGCATTTCCTGGACCACCACACCTTCCAGTTTCATTGAAATGCCAGTCATTATATAACCAGTCGTACCGCCTCAGAGTCCTAGTAAATTCAACACACCCTATTTAAGATACCTCTAGAAACTTTGTTAGAATACATTACAATATATTGGTTCAAGTCCAATTTATAGTCTACAATATACTTATAGTCAGTTAAATTCATGCGGGAATTACGAAATGTTCCGTTCATGGAAGGTAAGAAGAGAGGTGATAAACAGGTGCTAGAGTAAGACACACAGGATACAGGCCTTGTAGTCATTATCATTTTATCAATTATTAAGGGTTCGAAAATTTACAAAGCTCCACAGTAGAGGGTAAGTACAGCATTATTTTGGTATTAGCAGATACAAGGGACCAACTTTGCGATGATAAACAGAATTTGTTCCGTTGTTCACCGTAGTAGGAACAAATTTCATCTAGTATCACAACTGCAAGATTCAACTCAAAAGGTAAGAAGGTTACAATCATCTAATGCTACACGGCTGGACTTATCCAGCATGTTGGTTGAAATTTTGCTTGGTAAATCTTTTGTGTGAATAAGTTTTAATAAAATTGCGTTATACATTTTCTGGATTGATAGGAATTCTCATTTTCTGACTAGTCATGCTGGTATCCGCATCGTGTGATCTGACTGCGGCACACTCTTAGCAAATTGGTTGCAATGATTAGTGTTTCAGGTGGACTCTATCAAAATATTACTATAATGGGCATAGTGGGATAGGTGGAGGGTAATGTCATCCACGCAAATAGTTTACTTCATGTCGAAGCTTCAGCTTTCGGTAGAGTATCATTTAAGGAAGACTTCCCAGTCGGCTAGTGCACCTGGGCATAGTGGCCAAAACGTGGGATAAATGGGGGATTTTGATCGGCAAACAGGTGGGCAAAAGATGGTGTAAATGCAACAGATTTTACCCACTTGCCCACATTTTTCCCCTTTTGCCCATGTCCGGAAAATAATTTTTGTCCCACTTTTTGCACGACGAGAATTCGCGTCTCATGATATCAGTGCGGCCTATTTTCGTGTGAAGAGCTCTACTATTTGACAAGTTAATACTATCAGTACATGAAAATCACCTATTATCGCCAAAAGAACTTTCGGTGGGAACAGAAGTAATGATGTAGATTCATTTTTCACCGTATGTATGTGTGGGCAGGAATTATCCTAAGTTGAAAGGTTATCTACAAGTGGAATTGATCTATATTCGCACTGGTTGGTGCAGTGCAATATGGCTTATATGGATTCGATGTATAAAAAATGTCTATAATTCTATTAATATTGTGCTTAGCTGACTGCTGAGCTAACAAATGTCGGTGGTTGTCGTGATTGCTGCAAGTGCAGTGCACTGGAGGAGGCAATCACTCCTTTAATTTTCCTCACTGTTTCACTTAGTGCATTAATTCAGTGTACAGTATTATTATACGCATGGATGGTGTTCAATCTATTTAGCTCTATTATTGTCAATGTATATTATCAATGTACACACCGAATCATAGGAATTATTTAAAAGACGGTTGCAGTGAAGAAAAGAAAATTTTCTTCGCTACAACCACCTTTTCAATATCATTAATCTATTGTTTGTTATACCATTTCCACTGAAACTATACTTCCTGCTGCAATGTTCTTGATCACCAATAGTGGAAATGAATTTCTCCTGAAATTTCCATCTACACAAAGCAGTACAGGTGCATTATCATGATTGAATGTATAGGTTGCATTATATGACACTGTTATCCTCATCAACAGGCCTGCTTGTCTTACAATATTTTAAGTTTCTCTATGCTATTAACACTGTGCATAGCTGTTTAGAGTTGAGACATATCCAGCTTATATTTGATGGCTATAGCTTCCTAAATATGAGAATGTAATCCCGTTAAGATTCACAAAACCATGCTCACGAGACATTACTAAGATTGTTGATTGATTTCTAAGTTACACATTTGCAATGCTTCCTTTAATGTAAAAGTATTTAGTGGGAAGTTGGTCTGCAAGTAATCTTGATGAGAGAATGACGCCTCAACAGTATGGATGTTTCAGAGATTGTCTTGAAATTCGCGTATAACCCTCTAATACTGGAAAGCATATGAGGTCTATTTATGCATACGGCATCAATACAAAAACCAGCTGTGGACTACAAATACTTTTGTTTGCATGAGAATCATTGCATTCATATTGTATATAAGATTAACTTTGTTTTGTACTAGTCCTACTAGTGCTTTGTTTTTTAATTGTATGGACGTTGTCAAATATGAAATCAGAGGAAATGTCAATCAGTCAAACTAAGA